AAAAAAAAAAACTTTATTGCCTAACGCTATAAAGGTGAATTTTTCTTGAACGATAATAATCCGATCAGCGCTCAAAGCTATGTACAGCATATTTATCATGGCCTAATGTGAAAAGTCTGGATATAAGCAAATACATGTACCTTGTGATTTTTGTATTTTCCTTTTTTTTCTTTTAAGTGACTATAAAAAGCTTTAAAGTAAAATTTAACATCCAAGGTCAAAAGAAAAGAGGACTGTTGTAGCCAATCACAGAAGAATAACATTAACGTAAGCATTAGCTTGCACCAATTCTGGTTACTAAGAAAACAAACTGTGGTATGAAACGTAACGATAATCAGAGAGATTTGTAAATTAAGAAGACACCGAAATGTAATAAGAGTAAAAGACAAGACTAGTGCTCATATATATATATATATATATATATATGAGCACTAGTCTCGTCTTTTTAAGAACCCGCTGGTTCCTCCTGAAAGAATTTTAAATTTGTACAAGTAATGCTCTCTTTAGACAACACAGCCCGATATAAAAGTCGACACTGTTCGTTCTTTCTGTCCACTGCATTGTAAAACCACCGCCTGAGTACAGTCTCTTTTAGGACAATATCTCTTCTCATCAGGCGAGTAATTTTTTTTAGTAACAGCAAGGAAGCATTTACACCATTATCTCTAGTCAAAGGAACTTGGTAAAAAGATGAAGGAAATATTTACCAAAATCACTTTCACAGTAGCTCTTGTTCCGTTTCTTTGATATTCTACATGTGCGGCATTTTTCTAATCAAAAGAGAACAACACTATAAGTGTCAGCAATAAATGCATCGAAAAGAAAGAAAACCGGTTCTTTTTTTTAATGAAAAAAAAAATGAGTAGTAAGCTAAAAGAAACAAGTCAGTAATCGCTACCTGCAGAATTATTTAGTTCTTTAAAGACTCGCACCTGGAAAATGTCGTCTCATCAAGAGAAATAAAGTCAGGAAAATTAACAATTGTACGGTGGTTTTAAACAACGCAGACTATCTTTCTAAGTTATTATCGGACAAATTCAACTTCAACTTCTCCTCACCTGGTCTGTTGGGTGTTGATAGCGTTGTAGGTGATTCGCGCCCGATTTCAGTGATCCCTTGAGTTGTAATTAGAAACGTTTCTTCTCGTGGACCTGTATCACGTTCCGAATGAGAATTGTCTTAAATCAATTGTTATGTCATACTCGTTCAACATGTACATAAAGTTGATGTGACATTTTACTGATAATCTTTGACTAAACTTAAACTGTCACAGAATCTCATTCTTCGCAACACATCATATATCAAAAGTTATTAGACACACGAAAAGGTATCTCCCCGGATTTCAGGGAATTGGAAGAACCTTATTAAAAAAAAATAAGAGTAGGTTTAAGACCTGTTTACCAAATTGTGATAGCTCGAGGTGTGGGGATATAATAGTCTAGTAAACGGTCAATATTAATTTAAGAGAACAAGTTTTATGATAATTTGGACCACATTTTGAAAACTTCCATACCACAGAAATTTCAAGTTTCGGGCTTGTATATCTCTACGAAAAAATCCGTTAAGTCCAACTCCATTAACCCTAAGATTCCCTAGGTTTTGAGATGATTAAAGTAAAGTTTAGTTTAAAGCTATACCCGCAATAGTTTTGGGCTCCGCTCGAACAAGCGTTGTCGTCTGCGTCGTCTTCATCAGTTGGCACCGTTTTCGTAAATCCTGCATCCTTCGTAACAACGATCCATTCCATTCTTCGACGTAGCTTTCTCGACTGACTTCAGCTATGACCTTTGTGGAGCCCACCATCCTGGTCATCTTTCCCTAATTTTCTATGACAAATGGTCCTTCTTCGTCCCCCGTCGATGTGTCTAATGACTCATAGGTTTGCGAAGC